TAGGTATCTTGGTCATGTCTTCAAACTTCATCAACTTTGAATCCATTGAATCCCATAAAAAGGTCAAATATTTCGCTTAGGTGATTAGCTCCAATAAAAATGTCTGTCAGATTCCAACTTCTTAACTCCCCCAACCGTGTTTTAAAGGCGGTAGAGTCACTATTTATGTTCTGGAAGATGAATACTTGGTCGGTGTTGAAGCATGCAAACATAATTTTCATGGTCGTGCGTTATGGCCTAAAGGGTCAACGACGTTGACTGTGGTTGCCATAAAATGCAAGTTATCTTCTATATGAAGCTTTCTTGGCCACTGAGGAATCACTTCGTTAGATAAGGGGTTTTATGAGTTTTCCTTTTCATCTCTAGAGGATGTTAAAAGGGTTAGGTCGAACGTCTCTTGGAACCTTGATCTAGGAACCGTAAGTTATTCCCTTAGACAAAAGATTTTTACCCTAACCTCCAAAAAATTTCAACGACACAAGTGTGGATTAGGTTGTTTGGTTTAGCCTAGGAATACTGGTGGCCAAACATCATATTCCCCATTTCTAGCAACGTAAACACTCATATATGCATGGATATTATTACATTCAAACTCATGTTTGATCGTGCCTTTGGCCACTTTGTTAGGGTTTTGGTTTATATGGATCTTTCTGCTCAGCCTACTTATAATATCCTTGTTGAAAGACAATGTTATGCTTTCTTTGAGGATATTGACTACGAAAATGTTCCAAAATTTTATTCTCATTACAACTCTACAGACCATTCTTTGGATGTGTGCAAGAAGCTAATCTTGCAAACTGTCAACAAACACATCAGAAAACAACCAAAAAAGACTTTTGTCAAAGTCAGAGATGGAAACACCAACATGGAAAAATGAAAAAGAACAAATGAAAGAAGATGTTGGCGTTAATTCTGCCGACAACATAAAACAAGTATTGAGAAATCAGTCTGTATCTAGTGGTGTTAGAAAACACATACTTTACAAAACAAATCACAAGCTCTTCTTGATAAGGTGGATGGTCCTGAGCCTATTGTTGAAGAGGAGCAAGATATCTCTGATGACAATTCACTTGATAGTTAATTTGTTAATGTAGTCAAATTTTGTTGTACTGTAGTGGAAAATTGAATTGAATTGTATTGTTTTTCATTACAATAGAAATGTGACATGGCCATTGGAATTTCGTACTTGTCTTTAGTGCTAAGAAATTTGGTGAACTTTGTTTTATGAGTGCATATTGGTTATGGTTTTTGACAATTTAGTGCAATTTGGATGACATAGGTCTTTCTTTGACTTAAGATTTTTTTTTTTACATAATTGATGCACTAGGTTTTTTCATGTGGATATGAGCATGACTTGAAGATTGGTGGACATGGAGCTTACTTGAAGGTGAAGAAAATGGAGCAATGTGGAGGCTTGAACATTAGGTTTTAGAAATCTTTAGGCTTTTAGACTTAAATTGTAAACAATTTGCTAATGTTCAAAACTCCAAAAATGTACCAAAATGTAAAATAATGCTAAATATTAAATTGTATTTTTTTTTTTTGAATTCTAGATGCAATGCAGTGATATTTGAGCCTAAAATAAATGTTATGTTTTGGAATTTGAATGTTTATGCTTTAGTTAAAGTTTTAAACTATTTGAATACTAATTGTAACATGCTTAAAATGGAATGAGAATGATATGGACTAAATAAAAAGTCCTTTGAAACTTGGATTTTGACAATAAAAATCCAAAGAATGAATGTATGCATGAATTGAAAAGTAAACTTGTTTTATCAATAACTCACATAATGAATGCATGTATGAAAAAGAAAAGCTCACCAGTAACTTAATAGCAACAAGTGTGTATAAATGAAGCTAAAATGACCTAGTTATTAAAGATTTCTTCTAATGTTAAGAAAACCACAAGTTTCTCATGAAATGTCAATGCACACTCTTGAAAAATGTGCATATGACCATGCAATGAATCAACTGTGGACCTTGATCCATGCTAATGATACACATATTGGGTATCATAGTAGTAAGATAAATATCATAAAATAAGTGATTAAGGAGTAAGAAAAGTGACACAAAATATTAGTGGAAAACCCTCAACAAATGAGGGAAAAACCACGGGCACCGGTAAAAAAGATTTTCACTAAATGGAAGAAATTACAACATTTCTCTCTATATACAAGGAGAGAACAAATTACACTCTCTATTGTAATAGGAGAACACTCACAAAAAGAACCTTATAAGAGAAAATACAATATATTCTATCTCTCTAAAAAAATATTTATGTTAATGTTTTGTGTTGTTGTGTTAGGAATGAGAAATGCATCTCTATTTATAGGTGTTTATCTTCATAAAACTATGGGATTTGTTACAAAACCATGGGTGTAAAACCATGGGTGTTTCTTTCTTGGTCCACAAGTTGTGACTTTATTCAACCACAATCCTTGACAAAAATCTTTTACCATGACCACATAATTTGAATATGACCCTAATCTTTGACAATCTCTCACTTAAAATTACATTTGTGATCTTCCAAAATCTTCTATACCTTGACAACTTCATGCTGATTACACTTCTAATAGGCCATAGAAAGACCTACACCATGCAAACTTATCAGAGTTAACCGGCTTTGTCATTACATCTGCTAGGTTCTCTTTAGTGTGAATTTTCTACATATCCACACTTCCTTCGTCTACTACCTCTCTGACAAAATGGTATTGAAATCCTATGTGTTTTGTTCTGGAATGAAAAGTTGGATTTCTTGCAATATGCAAGGCACTCTGACTGTCACAGTACACAATAATCTTTTGTTACTTGTGGCCGAGTTCTTCTAATAACCTTTGAATCCAAATTTGCTTCCTTACATGCTTGGGTAGCAGCCATGTATTCAACTTCTTTAGTAGACAAAGCTACAATAGTCTGCAATTTGGATAACCAGCTTAATGCTCCTTCTGCAAGTGTGAACACATAGCCAGTAGTACATTTTCTTTTATTAAGGTCGCCTGCAAAATCTGAATCAACATAGCCTCTGATAGTGAATTCTGATCCCCTAAAACATAATGCGGCACCTGAGGTTCCTTTGATATATCTAAGGATCCTCTTAAAAACATTCCAGTGTTCATTACCAGGATCTGCCATAAACCGACTGACCATTCCAATTGCTTGAGCAATATATGGTCTAATACATATCATAGCATATATAAGGCTTCCCACCGCTGATGCATATGGTACTCGAGACATTTCCATCCTTTTCGCTTCATTTCTAGGAGTCATACTTAAGGATAATTTATAATTGACAGGAAGTGGGTAGAGATTGGCTTACAGTATTGCATGTTAAAGCGGCGCAAGACTTTATGAAGATAATTTTTCTAAGAATGCCAAATCCTTTTGTCTTTTCTGTCTCGGTGAATTTGCATCCCTAAAATCTTGTTTGTTGGTCCCAAATCCTTCATATCAAACTCCCTAGCCAATTGTTCCTTCAATTCTTGGGCTCGACCTTTGTTGGGGCCTACCACCAACATGTCATCCACATACAACAACAAAATTATATAATCATCCTTATTATCAAACCTTTTGTAATATGTACAATAGTCTGAACTTAATATGTTGTATCCAAGGCTCATGATGAAGGAATCAAATCTCTTGTACCAACATCTTGGCGCCTGTTTTAAATCATACAGAGATTTGGTCAACCTACAAACTAAGATTTCGTTTCC